CATTCACCAAACGCAGCCCATCCAGAGGCACCTGCAAAGTTGACAGTACAACTTTATTACATGAGGGTCTGGAAAGAAGCACAGAAGATTTGTTTGCATGACATTGTTGCAATTGGGCAGGGATCTGAAACTCAAATATTTTGAGAGGAAGAATGTTTATAAGAAGATTCTTCCATTTCAGGAAGTTAAAAAAGAGTAATTAACATGCTCAGATGGGCAAATAACTGCTGGAAGGTTTCCTAATTTGTGTGTACAGTACTGTAATATGAATCACATCATTAAGTAAACTTTATTATACAGTACTGTAGAATGAGTCCTTGATGCTCAACAGAGGACCCACACAAGAAACAATCTTCTCAAAGTCAGAACAGTGGTTTTCTACAATTTTGTCCCACATTAAGCAAAACTGTGACACAAGGAATAAAGGAATAAGAGATTTCAGCATTTTACAGCACTTGAAATGTTTGTCAAGGCAAAAAAAAACATTGGAAAGAAGGTTCAAAAGTAGCTTGGGCTTCATCCAGCAGCAGTTACTAGAAACATTTCAGTTTTTAAAAAGCAATTCTGGATGTGGGAATGAATTGTTTCATCCAATTTCATTGTGAAACTCACCTGGATGTGGGAATGAATTGTTTCCTCTTCTGCATTTGTGCACTTTTTATTGGTAAGAATCTGAGTAATTAACTTGCATATAGCAATACTTTATGCCTGTTGCTCTTTTTGTGGGTCAAATGGAAGTTCAAGTGTTTGCTCAAAGCAGATTAATTGCTCTCATTATTGAATCCTTAAAATTGTAATTTACAAAATGCCACATAAAACATGCTAGTTCATGAGGAGTTTATATATTCACAATGCATGGATAATCCAGCAAAGTTATGAATATACAGTACAATGCATAACTCATGATTTATTGTATGAGAGGAAGGAATAATGTATGGGTACTTATGTTTTGTCTCTCTCAGTATGGTAGCTGGACAGGAATTGCTCTTCACGCAGAATAATTTTTTTTTGTAACTCTGTGACAGAATTGACTCTATACAGTATTATAAAGATCTCTATATAAAATATATTTCTAATTATCTGGATGGCTAACTATATTTTTCCAAATTGGATGAAAAGAAATGCCAGCATATCCAGCAGTTCACATGCACCATCTCAAGAGCTTTAAAAATCTAATTTTATGTGAACAGCTTGAATTACATAATGATTCAAGCCTTTACAAAGCAGAAACCTCCCTGATTTTAATTCCCAGGTAATCCCTCAATTCCAATGCACTTTAAACCTCCCTTCAGCCAAACCTTGGGGTGAACCCTCCCTTGGTCAACTTGGAAAAACCTATTGGGCATTTAAATGGGATTAATTTGAAAACACTTTTCAGAAAACAAAACAAAAACATAGGAATTTTATTTTCTTCATGCTCTTGCTGGCTTTCCATGAAGGGTTAAAGACATCTTCCTGCAAGCAGGACATCTATGAATGTAACAAACAGTTTTAATAATAATTTGGTCAGAAAATTGTTATCCTATGTAGCCAGAAATAAACAGAATCTATGTATAAACCGCCTTGACATCTCTTCGCAATAAACTCAAACTCAGCTCAATGTCTGGCTAGGACAATTTCTTGATGAGAAGCTATTAACTCTATCAGCCGGGTTCCTTGAAATGAAAGGCTTCTCTTTACCAAAATGTTAGAATATATTTTGTATAGCAACAACTTCCACAGACTCTTGACAGACAATGAAAGCGGAGGAGATACTCGGGCATCTCCTTTATAGATTCATAAGAAACAGGTGAATGACTGGTCATGAACCACAGGAAGTAAACTGGATGCGGATGCAATTAGTATGCACAAAAGTAACGGGTTGGAATGCATCACATGACAATCACACTAGTAGGGTATTTTGTATGTGTCGTGGGACACCAACCTTGGATGACAAACTAATGTTCAAGAATTGAACCTATATATACCACAATAATGAACCAAATTTGTCAACTCAAAAACTCTCAAGGCAGGGCAAATGTTGGGGAGTCGCTTGAAATTTGAATTAAAGAAGCTTTTCAACTGTACATAGTAATATGAGTGGAAGTATAAATCCTTTGATTGCAGTGGAAAAATAGACATTATCTGTAAAACATGACCTTTGATATGAAATTGCTCACCTTGCCAGCATATTCGCGGGCTGTTTCCTGCCTCAATGCAGTCAGAAACATGTTGGGATGTAGCAACTGACTCAAGTCCAGATTGGCATTGACCAATGAGTTCTTGGCTGCAAGTCTTTGCACACTTTGAGCCTTGGATGCCAGTGCCCTCAGGTAACTCATGGGTTCTTCTGGGCCATCCCAGAGACTCAGCCAACTTCCTGGTGTCTGCAGCAGAAAGCATATATGATAATAAAGATGAATGTTATTTGAATGATGAAGAAAACTTAATTATAAATATTCAGGGTTTCCCATATGCAACCTTATTGGGCCTGATCATCTTCACCAGCAAATTTCCAAAACATTTTCTGCTGGCAAGCAAAGTTTCATGAAATTTTTCTTCAAATGCAAAAATTTTTGTTTAACAGACTTTAGGACAAGTATTAGGAAATTTGATGCTATTTTGAAAAAATTAAGTTAAGAATCAATGAGGGGGAATTTCTTCAAAAAGTAGAAAGGTGAGCTTGCAGGAGGGTTTCTCAGAACAAAAAAATGAAAATAATTTATTTCAGCAGGTGAAAATTGGTTTGAATTGTTATCATAGAAGAAAAGCCAACTTTCATTCTTCATATCCATCATCACCATTTTTTTCATGAATGAAGCTGCAAAAAGTTTCATATAAAATGAATAAATTCTTAAAGTGCATATGTTCCTTGGTAACAGGAGGCTAAATGAGGCACACTTCTCTGCAACCTCAGCCTTGATGGTTAAGATTAGGATTCAATAATCATGGCAAAAAACATCATACAAATGCACATTTTTTAGCAGAAGATAATTTGAAGAAAAAAATAATAATCTGTGTTTTAGGATGAAAAGGTAAATAACCTCTTGCTGCATCAGGTCAGCAGCAATTCTCTTGGCCTTGCTAGACAACAGCAATGAGCCATTGATAACCTTGGACAGTTCAGCCAGAGACTTATGAACACTCTGCACCACCAAGACTGCATTGTAATATTCCAGCTGGAGGAAAGATGTCACTGGTTGGTCACTATTGGCCAGGTCTGGAGGAGACAGCTTGGCTTTGTGCATGTCTGAGCCCTGGTTCAACTTCTTCCACAGGTTCAACACTGGTGACAGTTCAGCACTCCACTTCTCCCTGTCAAAGGAGTCCACAGAGTCTGCCACTCTCATCAGGACTCTGAGCTGGGAAATCACTTCAGAACTGGTGTTCCTTTCAACAACCCCTTCCATGTTGGCTGAAGAATAGAAAATCCCATTGAAAATATCTCTACACATGCTGTACAGTATTTCTATTTCAAAGAGAATGTGGAAAATCATTGGCTTTGCCAGGAAATCCAAAAGAGATGAGGGTTAATAATAAAATTATTGAAAACCATATTATTCACAATTGGCTGCAACTCACATTTACTGAATGGACACCTGGAATTGATACATTTATATTGATTACAATTGCAGAATATATTGGGCCAAAATGGGCGCTTGAAGATGAGCATTTTTGTTGATAAAAATTCAATTTTCATGCAATTTCAATTGTTATTTCAATCATAGTAGCAATTGGTTTTAGTTTTCAGAGCTTTAAAGCTGAAAGATGATATGGTGCATGAAATTCAAAATCAATAAATGCATCCTCTAATGAGTTATGCATCATCAGCTATTGCTTTGTATTCTTGTATTAAGCATTAATTGTAAAAGATTGAGAAAAACTAAAAAATAAAGCAATAACTCCAATATACAATTTCTCAAAAATGCATTGATAACAAATAGCCATTCTAGATGCATTCAATGAAAAACACAGTCAAGAAAATGCAGCAATTTAAGGTATGAAATACTGCTACTGTATTCACAATTTCACATATTGTACATAACTTGGTTAATAGATTTAAAACATACTGTACTGCTCTTACTCATCTAAAGATAAATCAATTATATTCCTGTACTGCTAAATTACTGTAAAAACAGCATTTCCATTACAGTGAACTAAAAATACACTGATCAAATTAGCAATTTACAGTAAATCCAAATTATACAGCATCAGAATTTAGAAGATTGCAGGAAATCAAAAACAGTATGTGGCAAAATGAATTTATCATTTAAATACATTGATCATAAAAAAATAAGTCAGTTGGCATAAACCATGGTCCTCATAATACATTATAGAGATTGAAAATTCAGCTTTGAAAAAAACTATAATTCTAAAATTGCTACAGTTATACAGTAAATATAACAAACTCCAGTAGAAAACTAGACTGTAATCAAAAAATACAATGATTGACTTCAAACAGATATATATAAAGAGCAATGATTATTATTTACCTGGCAGTCCAAAATAGGATGGCTTGTCAAAATCTGGCAGATTCTTGAAAATGGTCACATAGTCCTGTATTTCATTGGAATCTGGCAGGTCAAAAGTGCCAGCCAGGGACTGCTTTGGGGTTCCATGCTCAGTCAAGGTAGAGTCACTGAAATAGTCTTGCAAATAAGATGCCATGACTTGCAAATCATAACTGCTCTCCACTCTGCCTCCATAAACTGCATTCAAGTACAACTCATGGATGAATTCCCACTTGACTCCTCTTCTTCCTGCAATATATGAATCAGAGTACATTTAAATTCATTTACAGTCCAACATATACAGTACATATATAAATCATCATTTCAGGAATTAAATATTTAAATTGATGGGAATGATGTAATATACAGTATTCATATTATTATTGACCTCTTTGGGCCTCAGTCAGGACCCTGTCCAAGATGTCCACCCCACAACGTTGGTCAGCAGATGAAAATTCGTAGTACTTGGTCCAGCCCTGGGGAATGTAGCTGCGCCTTTCCTGGACCACAGCATTGAACCAGGCCAGGGCTGCGAGAGACCTGGCCCTCAGGACACTGCTTCCCAGGCGCCCATTCATTTCTCTGTTCCAGCCCTCATAAGTCCTGATCAAGTTCCTCTTCACACCAGCTGGTGCCTATAAATACATAGTATAAAAACAGACATTCTGATGTGCTATCTTTTTTTCAAAATAAAGCATCAAGAATAGGTCCAAAGAATATACAACTGCATGCCAGCAGATTTTTTCTTTTGTTCAATTGTGTGTTTCAGTATAGAACACCTTTCAGTAGAAAACTTATATTGTAGTATAGTATAGTAGTAGTTTTATAGTAGTTTGAGATTAAAGATAAAATTATTAAAATGATATTTCCTTGAATTTTATTCATTCTGTTACTGAACTCATGAAATGAAGATCAAAGAATAAAATAAACCTTGACTCCTTGACATTTACAGCAATTCAGGATACTATACATTATGATCAACTTGAAACCCCAGGCTGAAAAAAGCTCTTGAGACAAGTGCAATGTGAATCTTTTTTGTAGAATAAATTCTGAAAACTTTAATGCAGAAAGAATCATGTTTGTTTCCAAAATATTTGTAGTGGCTTTATTCAAATTGAAAGCATTCTGTATTTCCATGAGCAGGAAAAATTAACTCAGACCAAAACACCATTTGGGGTATTCCATCACAACACTATACAGTATAGTATATACCATAACTGGAAATTTTATTTCTTGGATTTCATTCAATCTTTTGAATTGATACAAGGACAAAGGCTGGAAATTAATTTTTTAAATTAATATTAAATTAATAAATTAATCAATAAATGTAATTAATAAATTATATTTTAAAATTAATATAGAGAGAAAACCTTATGAAATAAGTGTCATGGACTTCTCAGCAATTCAAGAACACAAACTTATGGAATTTCATCCACATGAGCCACCAAAATTTAAATTTCCTGCTGAATGTATACCCTGATTGTTCAAACAGGTTTTGCAGAATGATTGAATTACTCTATTGTGATAGGACTGATTTGTTTTGAACAGTATATATCTGTAAACATCAATCAGATGTCTTGATCCATTATTGCACATTTGAAAAAGTAGATAATATTTGACAAAAAGCCACTTAGCAACAATCCCATCACCAAACCAGCAGCACTTTGAATATCATTTATTGTCTATATATAGGGTATATATACACAATAATTCAGGCCAATTAAAATAAACTGAAAAGAAAAAGAAGAAGAAACCTCATAGGTGATTTTCCTGGAGATTTGCAGCAAGTTGGATGCAAACAAGGGATGAGACTCAGTGGTGAGCCAGAGCTTGAAGTCTGGGTGCACTTGGGTGCCAGCAGTTTGCAGAGCACCCAGTGCTTGTTCCAGATCTGACAACCAGGCAACTGTCAAGTGCAGGTTCTGCAGCATGAGCCAACCTCCTTCCACTGAGCACTTGGTGAGGCTGTTGAGGGCAATTTCTGCCTGGCCTTGACCCATAGCAACCTTTACAAATTTTCAATTCACAAAATTATAAGCAATAAGTAATAATTCAATCTTTTACAATGAGTTTCCTCAGTGCCATAGAAAATTCAATGAGTGAACTTTTAAGAAGGGAAATAAATTCCATTTTACTGTACTTGAATGAAACGGTTCTTGACAGCATCATTGCCAAAGGTGTGTTTGGCAAGTTCGGAAATTTCCTGAGACGGATCTGCGCCATCACCAGCATTTATCAATAATAAAATGGGCTCGTTGGGCTTTGTTTCTTTAGCAGTTCTTCCCAAATTCAAACCCGGAGGCGCGAGTTCTTTCAAACCTGCAAAAATACATATTTTTCCAGTTTAGATCTCTCAAAAAATTGAGAAACAATAGTTTTTTTGTTTGGAAAATCAGCTGACCAAGTCCCCTGGTGGCGAACAACTTCATTGCAGAATGTAGACGATCTGGACGCAGAGCCTGAACAACTAGAAGATTCTGGAAAGCTGTCAATCGCTTGCTCAAATCCGAAGGAATCTTGATTTCGCATTGTGGGTGTTTCGAGAACTCATTCCACATTGCAGCGTCATCTAGCCGCAGCAGAGCGAAGAAATCCGGAAACGTTCCCTAAAAGCGTACCCAGATGTCACTATTCATTCCGCGTAACAAAAAAATTGATTCTTCCTGGCTGGAAGTAATGAAACCCCAAAAGTTTATCCTGAGTTTTGTTTGCAATACATTTAAAGAAATTTTTCATATTTTGGTGGACTTACCTTCAGCAAGGAAACAGCCAGCGCCCTCTCTTCATTGATCCAAGAAGGAAGAGTTGCCTTGGCTTCAGCAACATCTAGTTTAACATCAGTGACCAACATGCCTGTGAAAGCCTCCCATTCCTGAAAACAGATGTCACTTATACTCATGAGTGAATGAAATACTGTATTTACTTGAGTACCACGCGCCCTCCAGTAAGGCGCGCACAGGGTTTTCCCAGTTGGAAATTTGGCTAAAATCTTATCCCCGAGTATGACTCGCACCCCAAATTTTAGTAAATCTAAAACCACAAAATTTTGAAAATAGCAACACAAAATTTGACTTTAGACATGAATTTAACAAAAATCTGATCAATTTTCAACTTTTTCAGTACAAAAAAGTTTTCTTGTCACTTTTTTCCAAATTTCTCCATTAAGATTAAGTATAATGCACACAGAACTTTCTAAAACTTCTTGAAAAATTTGTACCTGCTTATGACGCGCGCCCCTCTTTTTCTTCTGAAATTTGAGAAAATAGGTGCTCAGGGTACTTAAGTAAATACTGCATCTAAAATATTCAGGAAATGAATATGATAATTTCAAGAAACTTAGCCCAACCTGGTTGTGAAACATTTCTGGTTTCATACCATGAGCCAAATGCAAGGCAAACATGGTTCTATCCTTCTTGTACAAACTCTGGCTGACATAGTGATACACAAGAACAAGCAAGCTGTGCTTCAGGCCTTCCACTCTTTGCTCAGTGTTGCCAGTGCTCTTCTGCAATGATTTCAAATCAAGATGTTACAAAAATATTTGAATAAATGAAAATGAGACAGAAGGTCATCACATCTCCAGTCTGCAAGGCCTTTTGGAACAGCTCAGTGAAGCAGCCCAGTGAGAACCTGTACATGTTGTTCATCTTCAAAAGGTCTTGGATCACAAAGTACAGATTGGCTCCTGTCTCTGCCAGAGGCAAGTAAGTGTTTCTTTCAGCTTCCAAACTTGCTTGTAAACCAACTGATTCAGTCAGATTCTTGCTGATCTTTTCTGCTGAGGCCTTCATTTCAGTCAGTGATGACAGTAGCTCCTTCAGAAGAAAAGAATACATTTGTGTGGTTTATAAACCAAGAACTTGAACAGCAATCTCAGCAAATGACACTTTGGCTATTCTTTTATAAAAAACTTTAATTCTTTAATACTTTTTATTTTAAAACTTTAGCCAAGAAACCATAAACATGATGTTCTGCCTTTACTCACATGGTCAGACAAGATGTCACCCTTGGATTTAGCCAGCTTCTCCAGAACAGTGTCCTCCATCTGCAAAAGGGACACTTTCATGTCTTCACTTTGCCTCAGCAGTTCTTTTCTCCTGGTTTCCAGTTCAGGCTTTTCTTCCTGCAAAGCAGCTGCCAACAGTTGTCCAGTTAGTCCAGCTTTTGTGGTGGAAAAGTTTGTGATGGTAACTGCTGATATTCCAACAGGTGGAATAGCTGGACTTGGATTCCTTGTGGTCAAGAACAGCTTGAAGTTTGTGTTGTAATCCACCAGCTTGTCTCCAACAAAGACCTTCTTCTGAGGACCTCCTGATGGCAGAAGAAAGTATGTGTTGATATTAAAAAAATAAATGGTACTTATTATACAGTACATTGTTTGCTGCCCCACTCTTGCATAATTTGAATGTAGAGAAAGAACTGATACATGAGTCCCTTTATTCAATTTGCTCCATATAAATGTTTGGAAAATCATGAGCAATACATCAGCCAATAATATACAAATGATATTGTTGGAAAAGTGATTAAAATTATTCAAGAAAAATGATGACATGCCTTGAGTGATGACCTCATTCCTAAGAATGGGATATAGAACAGGTGGAATGCTCTCAACATTTGACACAATCAGAATTTTCCCAAATTCAACAGCAAGTTCCAAAGTTGTGGCAAATCTCCTTNTGATGACATGCCTTGAGTGATGACCTCATTCCTAAGAATGGGATATAGAACAGGTGGAATGCTCTCAACATTTGACACAATCAGAATTTTCCCAAATTCAACAGCAAGTTCCAAAGTTGTGGCAAATCTCCTTTCACTTGGATTGACCTCTTCAACTTTTCCCAGCTTCTCCAAGTGCACTTTGAGCCACTCACTTGCTCTTCCTGAAGGATCCACCAACATAGGGCGCATTTTGGACTGGAAAATATTTCAAAATTCATTCAAATGGAAAAAAATATTGATAAAAAATCAATTGAAAAATCAGAAGAAATAAGCCTTTTAAAGTTACAGTATTGCATTGAAGAATTTATCCATCAGATACTGTACACACCAATAAGATGATGAGAGCATTTTCCATGGACAGGTCATCAGAAGGCAGACCCTCAGATTTCCACACAAGTTGCTCTCTTTCACTGCTCAAAAATGAGCGAAGGTCAAAGTCATAAGAGTTGGAGTCATTTTTCCCTGGCTTAGTTATTGACTTCCCAGTGAAAGATGCACTTAGGCGACCAGAAAATGAAGCTGTCAAACTCCTGCCAGCCACAACTTGTCTCCAAAGCTTCATGGTCTCACGCCTGACATCTTCTGTGCTGGAGCAGAGGTAAGTGATGAAGGCTGCAGCCAAAAGTGCAGATGGCGCTAGTGAGTCCAGCTCAGAAGTCAACTCATTCACCTTACAACATTACAGTACAATGATGAGCAGGAAATAATCTTGAAAATTCAAAATTGTGAGTATTTGAATCATTTATGTACTGTACTGTACTGTACCTGTTCAGACCAGCGTTTGTATTCTCCAGATAGTTTCCCAATCAAGTCCTGGGCAGATTTTATTTTCTGGGTGGCCTCTTGCAGTTTTATCTCCATTTGTGTGGCTTCTTTTGTGGACTGATTGAATTTTTCTTGCAACACAGCCACTTTCTCATCAACATCAGTCAAGCCTGATGTCAGGGCCAGCATTTGATCCTGTGCATTCTTCAAACTCCTGTTTTCATGAATTAATTCATCAATTCTTCAACAGAAAGCACAGAAGGAAATGTAACACTTCTCAAAGCTTGGGCTTGATAGCATGGATGAAGATACTGTACTTCCATGAATTTCTGGTAAAATGTAGTTTTCCATTTAACTTATAACTCTGCTATTTCCATATGAGAAAAATCCAACACATCACATTTATGATAGGTCAGGAGGATGTCAGGAATAAAATATCCTCAACAAATGAAGGTTGAAATTGTGGTTAGAGAATTTTAGGAATATGAATTTAGATCAAGGAATAAAACACGAGAATTCGGTTGGGCTACAACTGGGGTGAGATTCACCCTATTATCAAGTAGTAGAGCGTCTGCAGTGTGGACAAGAAAATGATTGCAGAAGCAGGATTTGAACCCATGCCTGCAGAATTACACTGTGACCTGAACGCAGTGCCTTAGACTGCTTGGCCATCCTGACAACTTAATGTTAATTGATGCGTTTTCAAGTAGGCAAATTAATTCAAGGTGCAAAAGGCCACAGACACACGTTACACGACGTCCTTATTATTCGCCCCCAGACCCCTGTAGGATCCTACTGGTTGTTCCTCCCACTGCCGACGTTAAGTTGGTATAATTTGGATTTCACACAAGTTTGAAACAGATAGTTGATTCTTGCAAGAGTCAGTTGAAAACAGCACACGTGAATGCTCAAATTGGACTGTCACAATTTTACTTATTTTGGAAACCAAGAAGACTGTCCTACAAGGACAAATACATTAGCAGTAAGAGGTACAGCCTTGAAGGCTTCAAAATATCCGTAAGAACCAAGGTCTTCCAAGGTTCTCACAAAGATAGAAATGAAAGAGAAAGGCTACTGAGAATTTAGGTTCTCTAAATCCGGCGTGTCAAATTAGTATGGCCGGTAAAATATTTGCAACAGAGGATTCTCCAAAAATGAATTTCTGAAATGCTGAATAAGTTGGTTAGGAAATTTTTCAAAGTAAATATGAAAGTTTTTCTGCAATATATGCATGTTATGTTGGGGTTTTAAAGTTTTTAATTCAAGTTTCAAAGGAATTGTCACCTCTCATCTAAGATATGACCAAAGAAGATGAATTACCCTTGTAGTTTGGATTGTTCATCTTCCAAAGGCTTGATTTTTTCCACAACTCTAGCAAACTTTACAGTGGCTTTCACCCAAGCTGCCAGTGGTTCTGCAGCAGCTGAGGCTCTTTTGGCAGTGGCTGGTTCAAAAGAATCTCCTCTCTCCTCCAGCAGCTTTTCCACACTTCTTCTATCACTTGGACTGGTTTTTCTGGCATCAAAGTTCCTACAAAAGAATTGATAAAGTGGAGTTAACACACTGCATAAAAGATGTCATGTTGCCCAGTTTGAATTACCTGATCTCCTCTTTGATGCCCTTCTTTGCCAAGAAGCTTTTCATGGAGTTCCAAGAGGTGTCCAGAATGCCCATGAGGCGCAAAACACCTTCAAGAATGTCCCTGATGACAGTTGGTGGTGCACTGTAGGATCTTATTTCAGTGATTGCCTGGGCTTTAATGTTGCCAACTGCTGCTCTAGCTTCTTGAATCAAGGGCTCAACTTCTGCCAACTCAATGTCAATTGCCTTCTTCCTGCAGACATTTTTTTTTCATAATGGTCATAGAACTTTTTGTGTGATTTTTAAAGATTTGAAAGCAGCTACAGTATATTAAATATCATTCAAGTTACAGAATTCAGGTGAAAACATGCCTTTCTTTGATTTGCTTCTCTTCCTTTGCTGTGGAGTCTTTCAGAGTTTGCATGGCTTCCCTTTGGTTGGTGGCAGCAAACATGGTTTGTTTAATTTGTGTGAGTGCCTCATTAGCTTCTGCTTGCTTTGCAGCACATACTTTCTGGTCCTTGTCTGCTTCTGTTTGCAGCTTGGCAACAACTGCTTGGGCTTCTTGAAGCTTCTGCACACCTGCCTGCCAAAATTGTGAACAGCAGTCAATTTCACAAAATAGCAGTATTATTATACAGACCAATTATACCAGCATTGGAGCATAATACAGAAGGTGCAATACTAAACTACTGAAGTGATTTCCTACTTTTTACTATCAAGCTAGTGTTGAGGTAAGTAGTTTGAAAAATTATACAGCAGTATATTTGCCCTTCAAAGTTTTTTTTTTGCTGTCACATTGTGTTAATGGTGTGTTGCAAAAAGTTGACCTTTCTCACATTATGTGTTGCAAGAGAAGGTTTGCTTTTAGTAACTCAAGTTTTCTGAAGAAGAAAAAAATACACTTTTCACAAAAGATCAGCAATTGAAGATATTTTAAATCAATAACATCAGACTTATTTGAGTCAGTTCTGAAAAGACAATGCCCAACTTTCACTATAACAGCCTATTAATTATTAAATCAATTTCAGTGTTGTGTTGGGATATTTCTTTGTGTATGGCCATATATTCCCAAATATAAGTTGCAATAAGTAAGGTTGTGCAATTTCTTGACACAAGAAAACTGATTCTTACCTTCAAATGCAATGTCCTTGTTTCTGTGGCAGTTTTCTTTTCCCTGTAGATTCTTTTGAAAGTTTTCAAAAATTCAAGGAACCTTTTTGGAGTGGAAAGTTCATTTGGGGCTGACTCATGGATGGCAACCAAGCAGGCAATCAAGTGTTCACCAGCAGGCAACTCACTGATTGGAACCCCACACCCTTCAACTCCATCTTCAGTCTTTTCACTTGATTCAGTTCTGAATAACAAATATAGAATTCCACTTTCATCAAGTACAATTTCAGGAATTTTTGCTCTCAAAAACAGAAACATATTGGCATAGCTGATAAAAAAATGAATTGGCAAAACTTTCTCTCAAACACACAGGACAAGCATTATAATTCCATAAATCAGACATTGAGGTGATGATAAATTTTCAATGAATGACACAAACCTGGGCAAGTACATTGATGGAACAAGCCTGAGACTCTTGTTGCTCCAACCTTCACTCCAAATGACAGAGCACTGCTTGTACAATGCAGGATTACTCTCACATCTTGACTTGAACATTGGGTCAGTGAAGTCCATGATGAAGATGAAATGCAGGTTCCTCTGAACCTCTGCAGAGGAAAAAAAACATTGAAAACTACCTTCTGTGTCTGAAAATAAAACCAAAAGTGACCAAATCCTCATATTTTCATGGGAGTGTTCATAAACACTCCACCTTTCTTTACAAATTAACTTATGCATAGGGAAGGGCTTAACTTTCAATGAAGAGAAAGAAAATTGGAAATCAAATGTTGATGATGAGGACTCACTCATTGAGAAATAAGCCAAAGCCCCTCCCCTGAAACCCTCAGAAGAAGCTTCAGGTTTAATTTTTGCCAAAACTGGCTCCAGTTCATCAGGGGCAAACAATCCTGGGGCTTCCCCAGCTGCAAGCAGTCCATTCAACACCTCCAAGCACTCTGGGGCAGCAGCCATGTGTGCATCTTCCACAAAAAAAGCTACTTGCATACCTTCAATTGCAGCTATTGTCATTGCCTGCATCATGAAGGAATAAAAAATAAACAATATCACTTTCAGTTCAACTTCACTAATTTGCCATTGACAGAAGAAAACCAGACATGAGACTTCCTCATCCAAAGTCACAAATGCAAATTAAAATCTTTAGAAAATTTAATTTGTTGAGCATATAGTTTCACACACACAAACACAGACACCTCAAATATACAGTGATTAAAAGAATGCAAACCTGCTTCAAATCATTGCTGAATGTCTTGAAGTTGTAGCCAGCAGTGAGTCTTGGAAAGTATAGTGAAAAGTTGTGCATGCAAGCAATGACACCAGCAGCAGGTTTCCTTCCAACTCCAGCTCTTCCAGCAATCAACACAGAGCCCTTTGGTTTGGTCAGGATTCTGTCCATCCTACTCATAAGATCCAATGGTTCTCTGAACATTTCCAGGTCCAGTTCCTCATTTTCTCTACCTTGAAAATAGTAATTGAGTTTTTTATGTGAGAAAGATTTTATAATCCAACATCAGCCATCTTTGAAAAGGCAGGTGTATTCAGAGTTTTGAACCTTCATATAAACAGGATCTCACTCACTGTATCTCACAATAGCCTTCTCAACAACACTTTGCCACTCAATGGGCCCAAGCTTCCCCAGCATTTTGCCCAAAGGTGGTAATGGAGCACCAGCAGCAGTTTGCTTCTCACTTGAGGCACCAGGAGTCACAAAAAAGTTGGCTGAATGCAAAAATAAAAAATAAAAATATTAGCCCACTAGTTTTTTTGTTGTAAAACATATCCCACCATTCAGGTCAGCAAAGACTTCTCCAGTGCCTTGAATCCCTGCCAGGACATCATAGAAGATCCTGTCAAACTTATCCCTGTCCTTCTCCCCACTCATCTTGTCTCTGAATAGCCTCAGGGCCTCATGACACCAAGCCATCAGAAAGCCATTCTCTGCCAAACTTCTCACATCATACCTCAGTAACCCCATTGCCCATCTTGTCAAGTCTCTTGGGGTGAACACATAATGTCCATGGTCATCCACACTGAAATTAGCTTGTAACTGAAACAAACATAATGGTTAATAGTGAGGATTCATGAACCAGGCACTTCATTAAATATAATTTAAAAAAAAAATCAAACCTGTTCATAAAGCTTAATCATAGCATAAGCAATGCTTTCAATCCTTCCAGCTGATCTCCAAGGAGAATTATCATCAGTCACTTGAGCCAAAATTCCACCAAGGTAGTTCTGGTAAATATCTGCCATCTCATTTGCTTCTGGATAGCTTAAAAATGAAAAAAAAAGAAATTGATCAGGATTTCCTGAAAATCCAACAAAGCCAAGAGGCTTTAAAAACAACTCACTCAAGATATGCTATCCTCATGATAGATGTGAGCCTGGTGGAGACATGATGGCGTCCTAAGGCACTTCCTGGTGCCATGCTGCCAACAATGTGGACTCCATCCAGTCCAACCCAGTCCAAGTTGGTGTCATAGTAACCATTGTAAGTTATGAGCTGTAAAATTTGGAGAAAAAAGTGTAATAAAAATCATTCCTAATATAATTTAAGATCAGACCAAAATCTCTTGAAATTTCTTGAATTTGAACACTGATAAATATGATAATTATTTTTTCAATTCTTCAACTGAACAAGAGCTAGGGGATCATCCTAAATATTGAAAAAAATTAAAAATTAATAATTAATTTATTTAATTAATTGAAGTAAAATAGGGACTTCTATAAAGATTATTGAGAAACTCATAAAATTTAGAACTTTTGCAACAGTTTCAAAAATGAATTGATCTTATTTAAAAATGCTAAAATAAGCCAGTGACTCCCATGCATGTTGTGTATATATGAAAACTTCCTTTTTTTCATAGACCATCTAAAGAACATTCATTTTTACTGTCATTTTTACCCAGTTCAAGTTTTGATATTCCCAAATATTGGTACACTGGAACATGGAATTTTCTGAGAATTCAGACTAAGGTTTCCACTGTATTCACCTGTTGTAGGAAGGCAATCAACATAGCTGTGCCATACTTGTCTGGCTTTGGCAAGTTAATGTCCTTCATGTACAAAATTAGTCTCTCTGCTCCCACTGGTTTCAAGACTTGTCCTGTATTGGTTGTCATCATCTTGCAAGCCTGGAATTTTTGGAACAACATGATAAGCAATTTTTCAAAATTTTTATTTGATATTTGCAAAAACTGATTGCACAGTAGATAGTATAATAAAGGACTGATATAACATAATTTCCATCCATATACTGTACAGGATCTTCTGAAATTTCCAGTGAATATACAGAGACTTCTCAGAATTGAATGTTCAAGATACATTTTTGGGAGGACTACTGCACTAAATATACCCAAGAAGAATAAGCTTTCTCTCATTATGAATTGTCTCCATAGGCTAAAGAATGTGAAATACTGTTTCACTGATTTTCTGTCAATGGTTTATCTGAAGAAATAAATGGTTGATTTTTTTTACCTGGCTGAGTTTTTGGATGATTTGCTGTGGGGTGGTCTGAGAGCTGCAGAAGACAGTCACAACCTGGGTGGACTTCAAGTCATCAAAGCAGTCATGTAATATCAAGCTGAAATAGGATGGAGAAATCAATTAGTCATTTATTCATATGAACTCAAAACTATACTTTTTACAATTAAAAAAATAATGATATAAAATGTACAAAAAGCAGCAATCAGCATCAGAAAAGACCTCTGAATTAATGTACCCTGTGCTCATCTGAATTAGAAATCCTCTGATGTGAAATTCATTTTAGTAGAGCAATTTGGAAAATGATCCAAACTGTTTTCAAAAGATTCACTTTCTGCTATGCATGTATATATATATATACAACATTCACTTTATTCCAATATGCATATGCATAAATGAAGTGCACATCTGGACATAAAGCATGATAAAATCAATCAACTGAGTTTTTTCATGCAGTTTCCAGCTAAAAGGTGAAAGTTAATGTGCTTTTATTTTATTTTTAGAGGCACCCAGAACTTTCTTTGGAGAAACAAAATTATAAGGATTGAATGAACCAACTTGAAATGTTTCATCACCTTTTCCCACATCCTTCAGGTCCAACCAATAGGAATGGTTTTCCAGATTCAGCTTGAATCCAGGGTTGGAACAAGTCCATATTTAACAAAAAGCCCACAGTGGAAATGGCAGGTAAGTTCCCTTCACTAAGATTGCCAACATTGACCTTGTTTACCACTTGTCCTTCATAAGACTCCAAGCAGTCCTTGCGAGGATCATAGTACAAATTTGCAGGGTCTTTGGCATTTGGAGGATATTCCCCTGTCCAGCTAAACACCTATAGAACAAGCAACAATTGTCAGTATGAGACACTTATTCCTCTGCTCATGAAAACATTCAATGGCTTTGAAGAATTTAGTGGTGATATTTGAAAAGATTAGCTGGCAAAATATGCTCATAAGTTGGTGCACAAGTGACAGATTCTGTATATGAAGGTGAGACAAACTATATACACACATAAAGTGATCTATATTGGCTTGATGTATTATACAAATAATCTTTGAATAAAAACCTCTATTATAAAATATATAACACTGCCAAATTCTTATAAGAAGATATGAATATGCATCATTTGACAATTGACTTTTCTTCCTCAATTTGATGGAATTCATCCAAGGAGACTTTTAAAAAAGAAGCAGCTCATTTTATAATAAAAATATTGATATTGCAATTGAATTCTTTTTTAAAATAAAACTCTTATAGGAAACAAACATGACCTATCTGAGGTTCTGTCTCAATTTGACAAGGGTGGTGAATAAATGTTTTTCAGGAAGCATTTTTAGGATATTTTTGTTTAGGAATTAAGCTAGAACACTTTTTCTTTGAAACAGTTGCAGTATAATTGTTCAAAAAGGTATATGAGCATAGATGATTTACTTGTGAAGCAAAATTCCTCCTTGAAGCCAGGGTCAGATTGGCCCCCAAGCCATGTATCAAACCAGCCACAAACTTAGCCTTGGATTCTGCCTTCTCCAAATGACTCAGACCATTGAGCACAACACCCAGCAAACTTGTCTCCACTGGTCTGTCTCCTTCTTTCAGCACCCACTGCAGAGCTGCCAAAAAGGGGACATTACATCTATTATCATTTTCTCACAAGTTTCATGGAATAAATTATATAAATTACATATGAAAAAAATAAATTACATGAAATAAATTATGAAATAAATGATGTGTATAGTTGGAGATTATCTTAGCCTATAAGATATCTGAATTGAATAGAACAGCAAGCTTTATTTTTTTCAGCATTCACAAGGTTTAAGCAACATTCCCACATCCAAACCACCTCTTCTCCCCACCCTCATTTATCCAAATGCATTCCATCACACCAAAATGGAAAACAGAGAAGTAAATAAGCTGTATATATGGGTATTATAAGATCAGAAAATACATCCCAAAATGAAAAATTGCACAACTTATGTAAATACATACACTTTCTTTGCTTCTCATCTGATAGCAAAAACAAAATGTCAGTGATAAGAATTGCAGCATTAGGCTATTACAGAACCCACAATAAAGCACATTAAGGTGTTCAGCCTCCTCCCAGATAAGGTTTAGTTCATTGAAAAATTTGGAGAGAATCTTTGATGAGAAATCATCTTGGTCCACTTTGAGATTTTGGAAAGAGTCTTTTCATTGAATTTTAAAAGTCCCAAATCTTTTTGACGGTCATTTTGTTGGAGATATCTTCTCACTAGGATTATAATACTGCAATTTATTTTACAACAAAATCACAAATGAATTTTGACCAATAGCATTATTTATTATTTATTTATTCACTCTTTTTATGATGCAGGGAAAAATCTGCAGCCCACTCAACAGGACATAGAGTGATGCAAAGTACCTTTATAGAAGAAATCCTCCACATTTTGCTCCAGTTGATTTGAAGCAGCTTCTTGTCTTTTAATCCATGCCTGGACAACTGCTTTGACATCAGTGTTTTCATCACTGTATAGACATCCAATGGAACATTACTTTCAAACATTTTTTTAAACTGTTATTTGGAAAAAATTAGAATTAAGATTCAAAAGGTACATTGATTAAAATTGTTTTCAGATTGAAATTTTAAGAAAACTTCAAATTCAAAGTTGAAGAACTTTTCCAATAAAAAATTCTTGAATGCTTTTTACCATTATTTTAAGTTTACACAAAATTAAATTGATGAAACATATGTCCACAGATACTAAGGCGTTTTGAAGTTTGAAAATAAGAGGAATCTAACCTCATGAAAATCATGCCCATTCTGGAAATGGTTGCAGGGGAAGCTGATGACAAATCGTGGGTCTCAAATAAAAAGTTGACATTCGGACCAAACTGAATCCTTTCGCCTGAGGGCATGGTCAGCAATCGGTTGTCATCCAGCACAGAATTCAGTGACTCTATCCATTCAGGGTCTATATCACCGTCACATACAATCCAGGATTTCACCTCTGTGTTGAAAAAATAAAAAATAAAAAACAAATTTAAATGTTGTGTCAACTTGTTGCAAGAATGAGGTGCGACCTCTGCTGGAAATCCTCAATCACCAGAAAATAACTTGGTCAAAAACAAATCATTATCTCTCTTTCTAGCATTCGAATTATGAATTATTCAGTTTGAATTCAAGGTATCTTTGTGTACTGAAATTTGAATTTTTTTATTTGGGAATTTGATCACCCACCTCCATCCTAAAACATGCAACATCTATGTTAAGAAAATGTCTGTGGAGTGCTTCAGTAATATAAAAGTAGGATTACAAAAATGTTAATGTTGTCTCAAAGTGCTGTTTAGAAATATTGATGACTTCAGGAACTTTAAATAATTGAGCTAGGAAATTCTAAAAATATTTTGGATAGGTCTATTAAATTGTGAAATAAGCACTTCATAGAGATACTGTAATTTAGATCAGTTTTGTAACCTTCATGTTTTGGATATGGGAAAATCAAGACAGAAGATTTGAGACAGGGCCAAATAGAGAAAGGGGCAATTACAGACAAGGACAATTTGAGAAAAGGACAATTTGAGACAAGGACAATTTGAGACAAGGACAATTTGAGACAAGGACAATTTGAGACAAGGACAATTTGAGACAAGGACAATTTGAGACAAGGACAATTTGAGACAAGGACAATTTGAGACAAGGACAATTTGAGACAAGGACAATTTGAGACAAGGACAATTTGAGACAAGGACAATTTGAGACAAGGACAATTTGAGACAAGGACAATTTGAGACAGGAAAAAATTGAGACAAAAATTATATTAATGAGGAGAGGAATTTGCTTAGGTTGGTTCAAAGATTTGAGTTTTTCCTTGATGAGGAAAACTCATTTATTGACATTGATGATGGACAGCAAGCAGGAGAAACACCTTGGGATCATGAGCTTTTCACCTAACAGTGCACGTTTGGTTCATTTTCACACCTTCAAACATAAAAAATACAGAAGAGCATAGCCAAGTCTTGGTATCAGTCTCAAATTTTCCCTGTCTCCAAAAGTATATACAGTATCTCAATTGGGCCCTGCCTCAACTTGGCCTTGTCTTGAATTGGCCCTGTCTCAAATTGTCTGTCTTGACTTGTCTTAGATCCTGAATTTTCAGCTATTGGCCACTTGAATCCCTAAAACATCATCAAAACCTCTGCATTTATTCTGAAAGCCAGGAAAAATCAAGACAAGCATATGTGGAATTCAAGACCAGCATGCTTGAAGCTATCAATAGGTGAAAATTTTAGAAAAAGTATACAACACTGAAAGAAAAGTACTATACCTTTTGGAAGAGCAACAACAGCTCTTGCACTCTTAGTCAACACCCCATCAGTCCACTCCCTGGTGTCAGGGTCCATGAAGCCAAGCAATTGAGTTCTTGGGATGCTCTTAGGATTCATAGTGTGGAGAACAATTTTCAGGACATCCTGCTGGGCATGTGCTGAGATTTTTTCCTCTTCATCCTTTTGTTCTTCATCATCCTCAGTTGGTTTGTCATCACCATCAGCAGGAGAGCCTTCTGTGTTTGCCCTAGGTGCTGGCTTTTTGGGTAGCAAGGGATGAGTTAGTGCATGGTGCAACAGTCTCCAAAGGGTTGATTTCCCACAGCCTGATGGACCCACTACAACAACTCCAGTTCTTTGTTGAAGTTGTTCATAGAGTTCAATGGCTTTCTTGAGCTAGAATTTAAAACAAAGAAATTATTCAACAAAGTTCAATAACAGCAGTACAAAAATTGGATTGAATTATCATTATATCTTTCTGATATACATAAATAATGGTGATTTGGTAACTTCCTTTTTTCCATATTCAATATTTTCTTTTTTAGGGGTTGTACTAAATTTGATTTCAGTTGCTCAATATTACTGTAATAGGATATACCACACAATTTCATTGTTTTTTCTTCAAAAAATTTGATAATCATATGATTTAGTAGAAAAATAGCATTGAATAACATTTTACATTCAATACAAGGATTGCTGGATTAACAAAAGTCATGGATAGAAATAAAATACGTGTTCTGAAAAATTGTTGAACTGAAATAAAATGAGTTCATGGAAGCACAAGGATTGAAATGGAATGCTGAAGGAGAACATTCAATTTGAATAAAAATAGAATGAAGGAGAGTAAAAATGAAGAAAATTATAGAAATGTTGATTTGGAAATATTGAATTGGTATATTTAAAATGTTTGAATTGAAAAATATTGTACAAAATGAGGTATAAATTTGCTGGATGGAGGGAAACTGTTTGGTTTCAACCAAACTAAGAAACTGTTCATGTTGAAATGAAATGGATTGACTGAATTTAAATGCATGGATGAAGATGAAATCAATTGAATAAATAATATAAGAATGAGTAGTATCCAAATACCTGAGCAGGGCTGACAACAATGCCAAGTACATCAGCACTGCTCTCAAGCCTCTTTTTCAGCATATCATAAGCAGGATCCTTCAAGGGGACACCAGGGAACATATCCTTGACCAGGGCATCAAATCTGATGGCATCCCCAAAGGTGAGCTTGGATAAGGTGTTCAGTCTCAGAGCTTGGACAGCAATTTCAGTCTCCTTCTCTCCATCTATGACTCCTGGTTTCAGGGCTTGCCTTGTTGTGGCCAAAAGGGATCCACAGCCTCTCAACACTGTTTTCAGAGCTCTCAAACCCCAGTCATAGTGCTGCTGAGGTGAAAGTAGTTCTCTATTTTGAAAATTAAGATAAAAATAAACATTGTTATCTGAATATAATTTATAGTCCTCTTTATTTATGAGAAATTGAACCTTTCCACTTTTTGACTTTTTACTGCAAGTATCCATGGAATATTCTCATGAATGAATGAACAGAACACTTTATTTGCCGCTTTTCAGCGTTCACAAGGCACAACCAAGACTCCCGCACCCAAATAATTCTCATAATTCTCATCTACATTGGAAGTCAGCCTTGCATTTGAATTTTGCATGCTGACATTTGTTCCTCTAACCCAGAAAAAGATTCAATTTCTCAGATTTTCAATTGAGAACTGTGCCACATTCAATTTTGAAAAAAAAAGCTCCAATAACTTCCATGTTGGATGTACTGTACAACTATGAAACTGCAATAACATTGTCTCCAATTTGTCTTTGTCTGAAATGCATATGTGCTTATACCTGCAGATGACAAAGAGCTCAACAAGTTTTCCTCCAAGAGTTTTGGCAGTCTTGAAGCCCTCTGAGAAGAGAATAACCTCAGCAATGAGTTCATTGTCTGGCTTGGACATTGCAATAGGCCTGAAAAGCTGCTTCAGATTGTCAGGCAGCTTCTGTCTGCCTCCATACCCTTTCCCAGCTGGATTCAAAGTGATGAAAATCCCAGAATTTGGGTCCAAGTCAACCTTTAAAAATAAAGATAATACTTGAATGATCTTGACCAACTATTACTTTACAATAATGTAAATAATGATAATTTCAACTCACAGTTTTCTCAAGCAATGAGGTGGTGGAATTGCCAGACAGCAATGCAGCCTGAATGCTTTGAATCTGCATAGAAACTGCTGACAACACAGCCTCATCCAAGCGATTAAACTCATCAAAGCAGCCCCAAGCACCACATTTGACAATGCCCACAAATATTCTTCCCATGGACTTCACATCAATGCCCTGGGCAGCAAATTTTCAACCAGAAAAAAAAATTAAGTTCAGAATAAAGTTTTTAGCAGACAAAAATTGTATGTACTGTATATGTAAATACCTCATCACAGTTGAACACAAGAACCTGTCTCCCAAACAATCCTCCAAGGGCTTTCACAGACTCAGTCTTTCCTGTGCCAGCTGGACCATAAGGATTCCCACCAAGTCCCATTTTCATACCCTGAAAGAATATTGTAGTTTGTTATTCATCAAAGACAATTTGAACTTATCAATGTTTTTTTCACCAGTATATTCAAGGATGATGGGACATCTCCCCAATTGAACAAAAATATTCTTGCTATACAGAATGAGCTGTATGTTTTTTTTAATTGGTAGAATAGTGAATTTGATTGCAGGAAGAATACATCAGAAGGCTGGATTTTCAAATACAGTATATTATACAGTATATATACATACAATTTGTCCTTTTTTATGTGGCAAAAGAAATGCAGTTCAGAATTAAATTTTTAGCTGACAAAAAGAATAAGCATGTGAATATCTTTTCATATAAAGATATGCCTCATCATATCTTTATCTTAAATCAATATATTTACCTGAGTCAGGGTCATGTAGCACTTGTCAGTCAAAGGAGTATGAACCAACTTTCCAGCATTTCCTTGGTACTCATAGGTGTAGTCAAACTGGGCATCAACCATTCTCATGACAACCTTGTTTGAGTCCAAATAGTACCTTTATTGAGGACACACCAAAAAAATAGATCTCATCAAACCAAGAAAAAAATCTGAGGACAAAACTAACCTCAGTTGCTTTTGCCATCCCCAATCTGCAACATCCTTCACATTGGCAGTGATAAGCTGAGTCACCACATCTATGTTATGAACTGTGTCCAGAATCAAAGCTTTCAGTTTCAGCTCAAGAACTTGAGTCTCAGGGTCAGTGCTGTCCAAGTCCTGGGTTGTCAATGATTCCAATAAATTCTGAAACCATAAATGATTTTAAATTTTATTTATAAAAAATTCAAACACATTTTTTGCCAGAAATGAAAAGATCAGAATTCACTTGAAGTAATTTCTTAGAAACAAAACAACATGTCCATGCTGGCATAGATTAGAAAGAAATTCTAAAATAGCATCAGGAAATCTATTCTTTTTCCCTTTTTGGAGACCATATTATAAGGTATGTATTATTGATCTACTGGTAAACTTCATTTTCTGCTTTTCAGCATTCACAAGGTTCAAGCAATCCAAACCCACATGTATCCAAACACATTCCATCACATCAGAATGAAAATATATAAATATAAGATGTTTATGTGTATTTAAGAAAATGAAAATACATCCCAAAATGTACAATTGCACAAGTGATGTACCAAAATCTTGCCAAATCCTTTTGAAGCTCATTTCTGTATCTAGAGAATGCTGGGCATAATAAAAAAGGATGCTCTGCTGATGATGCATTATAACCAATGTGTTTACACTGCAGAAATTACACCACTTGGACACCCATGAAAAAAATGAATAAAATTTGAAAATGCCATGAATTTGTCATAATAGAGCTGTGGTATCATGTGCGTGCCAAATTAAGAGATTCTGTATTATTACATGTTATGAATTAATCCCAACAAATAAAAGTTTAGAATAAGTTGAAACTTTGTAAAAGGAAAGTTTAGAAATAATACGCAACGATTTGGTTGGGCTGCGACCGGGGTGCTGAACACCCTATTTTAAGGTTGGTTTAATTTGATGAGGTTTGAAACACAACAGCAAACTTGCAAAATCTCAGAGATGAGGCACACACAAATGCTCAAATCAAACTGTAATGAAATACAGTGGCCCCCCACCTAACAGACCTCCCATGTAAGGGATTTTGGCCAAACAGACCAGCTCTGCAAGCAGTTTTTCCTCCCGCCCGATGGACCAAATCTGCCAAACAGACTTCTTTTGGTTTAAAATTAGTGTTGAAAATTGAAGGGTTGACTGTAGTCAAGTTTGGAAATCAGGAAAACTGTCCTTCAAGGACAAAAAACAGCAACAGGATCTTGGTAATAAAATCCAGCCTTGGAGGCTGCCAAACATCTGTGGGATCCAAGGTCTTCCGACATTCCCACACAGATAGAATGAAAGACAAATTTCACTGGGGAATTTGGGTTCTCTTAAAGCTAGCGTATCAAATTTGATATAGCCGTTGAAATATTTGCGACATTACATACTGTACCTCCAGTTCTGTGCGGAAACGGGACAAAGAATTGCCTCCAATAGCTATTTCACACTTTTCTGTGAACCTGATGGCTTCTGCTAAACAAAGCACTTGTTGAGGATACAGCAATGGGTCTGGTGAAGATGAACCCTTGGCATCTCTGACACAATTGGCAACCAGAGATTGCAAAGTGCCCTTCATCTCCTTGGATAGCAGAGACAACCATTCCTGAAAACCCATGATAGAAAAAAAATAAAATTACAGTTATGACAATTATGTCAATAATTTTATTTTCCATTCAAACAAAATGAAAAACAGCTGTCATTTACATTGAAAAAGGCAATGCAATCTGAGTTGATTTATTGTACAAGGTGCCACTTGTCTTGAGTATAAGAACTCAAGAGACATGTCTTATGAAATCTTTGTATTTATCAAACACCAATCATTGAAAGTATGATAACAGATTCTAAGTTATTCAATCTGAAATGAGTGTTATTTAATCTGAAATGAGTGTTATTTAATCTGAAATGAGTGTTATTTAATCTGAAATGAGTGTTATTCAATCTGAAATGAGTGTTATTTAATCTGAAATGAGTGTTATTTAATCTGAAATGAGTGTTATTTAATCTGAAATGAGTGTAATTTAATCTGAAATGAGTTCATTTCAAAAACTATAACCAATTCTGGTTTCTTTTTTTTTTTACACAGGTCATCAGCAGATGATGAAAAAATATTGGATTGTTGAGGAAAACTTGCCTCAATGTGTGTGGAAACAGGGACAGGGTTATTCAAAGGCACAGATTCTCCTTCCAGTGAATTCATAGCAATGACTTTTGTGCTGGTTGGATCCAATTGCACAGAGTGAATCCCTGCAAAAAGCTTTTTCAAATGCTGCTGAATCACTCCTTCATCCCTTGACCTCCCTAAAATCTCCAACAAATCCTCATCTCACGAATCAAGTCCGTTAGACGGGGGTTGACTGTAGTCAAGTTTGGAAATCAGGAAAACTGTCCTTCAAGGACAAAAAACAGCAACAGGATCTTGGTAATAAAATCCAGCCTTGGAGGCTGCCAAACATCTGTGGGATCCAAGGTCTTCCAAGATTCCCACACAGATAGAATGAAAGACAAATTTCACTGGGGAATTTGGGTTCTCTTAAAGCTAGCGTATCGAATTTGATATAGCCGTTGAAATATTTGCGACATTACATACTGTACCTCCAGTTCTGTGCGGAAACGGGGCAAAGAATTGCCTCCAATAGCTTGTTCACACTTTTCTGTGAACCTGATGGCTTCTGCTAAGCAAAGCACTTGTTGAGGATACAGCAATGGATCTGGTGAAGATGAACCCTTGGCATCTCTGACACAATTGGCAACCAGAGATTGCAAAGTGCCCTTCATCTCCTTGGATAGCAGAGACAACCATTCCTGAAAACCCATGATAGAAAAAAATAAAATTACAGTTATGACAATTATGTCAATAATTTTATTTTCCATTCAAACAAAATGAAAAACAGCTGTCATATACATTGAAAAAGGCAATGCAATCTGAGTTGATTTATTGTACAAGGTGCCACTTGTCTTGAGTATAAGAACTCAAGAGACATGTCTTGAAATCTTTGTATTTATCAAACACCAATTATTGAAAGTATGATAACAGATTCTAAGTTATTCAATCTGAAATGAGTGTTATTGAACCTGAAATGAGTGTTATTGAACCTGAAATGAGTGTTATTTAATCTGAAATGAGTGTTATTGAATCTGAAATGAGTGTTATTGAATCTGAAATGAGTGTTATTGAATCTGAAATGAGTGTTATTTAATCTGAAATGAGTGTTATTTAATCTTAAATGAGTGTTATTTAATCTGGAATGAGTGTAATTTAATCTGAAATGAGTTCATTTCAAAAACTATAACCAATTCTGGTTTCTTTTTTTTTTTTACACAGGTCATCAGCAGATGATGAAAAAATATTGGATTGTTGAGGAAAACTTGCCTCAATGTGTGTTGAAACAGGGACAGGGTTATTCAAAGGCACAGATTCTCCTTCCAGTGAATTCATGCGTTACTGAAAACACGACCAACCTAGGTTAACGTGTCTCACTTAGGGACGTTTTTCGAAAAAGTTTACGACGACTTAGTGAGGAAGTAGGGAACTGGAGGGATTTTAGAGGTTGTTTAGGAGTAGAGCAATGAAGTAGAACCTTGGGAAAATTGACCTTTTCTCCTGGAATTTATGAGACCAAAAAAATAAGTGAATATTTTCTTATAGGAATTATTTAATCTTTAAAAATTAATTTACATACTTCTAGGAAATCGTTGAGACTTTTTTGAGCCCAACTGAGCTGTTCGCTCAGATTTTCGAGGGTCCTTTTGATCCCGGAAATTCTGCACAATGACACAACCTTCGGATCTTTGCGAATATCACTCAAAACAACTTTGAAATCCCCGTCGATTCGGTTGAATCTTGACAAAGCTTTTTCATCGGGGATCAGCTTGTTGCCAAAAATCGGCTCCAAATATTCCCACCTGAAAATAAAATGGCATGAAAAAGTGGTGGGAAAAATGAATCCAGAATTTATTTTTCTACACACAGTATTTTTGAAGGAATCTTTTCAATTTTTCCTACTTTTCAAATTAAGTTTTTCAATTTTACACATTTTCAAATTGATATTTTAGATTTTACACATATTTTCAAATGAGTATTTTTAATTTTACACATTTGCATATTATGTCTTAATTTTGAAGAGACACAAAAAAAAATCATGCACTTTGATCCCAGGACTCTATATTTTAGGGATGCTTTTCAGCTTGTTTATTTTTTCATTTCTCCATCTTTGCAAGAGGGTATTGAGACTTGGCAAAACATATGAGGTAATGAACAAAAACAAACTGTACTGAAAACTGATCAACTGCTCATGTTTTCTCAATGCCTATGAAATGAGGATAATAATATTGTCTTCAGAATTCTTTTCAAATAAGACAATGCTGCATATATTTTAAATATTTAGTTTATTCTCCTGAAATACTGCATTAATATATTGACATCTTGAGATTTCCTAATAAAAAAGAGAAAATTATTTCAATTTGTTACATTTACTCATAGTTTTCTTGACACACCAACTCTCATGTATCCAAATAATGGTTTGTTATCTTGACTCGCTTGTATAAATATATTTGTTTGGTTGAGTCAATAAAATCAAACACTTGTTAAATACAAAATATGAATATGATATATATTTCTTTGAATACAAGTGTGATCTAAAATACACACTAGATCACACTTGTATTCCAAATACACACACAAACAGAGTCAAGACAATATTTAGGATTAAAGAATTTTTGCTAAATTAGTGCAAGTCTTCTTGAGAATAATTGGGAGAGTCAGGTCCAATTCTCAGGTAAGATTCTTCTGGTGAGTTTCAAAGAAAACACAAATATATATAGACTTTTGGACATTGGGATCATGTGATATGGTTCTAAATTCAGAGATGCATATCCAGGTCTTGGGGCCAGGATGTGTATCTCAGAAACTAGTGCAGAATATATTCAGAGAATAGAGAAACCAAATTTGAGGAACAGCAATTACTGTTTGTAACTGTCAACAGGAAGGAACAGTAATTTGGGCTGTTGCAGTGAAATGGGTCATGCACATTAATGTTGGCTAGCGCAAAAAGTTGTCAAAACAAAACAAGGAGAAACTGCAGGCATGGGAAAGTTTTGTTCCCATGATCTTCTTATTTTGGGAAGGAAATGAATGTGGAAGTAACTTGAAACAAAGTGTTGAGTATTTTGTCAGATAACAGGTTCTACAATATTCATTTGCAATACTTGTGGGTACACTTCTGGTGTTCATGTGACTTATAGAAATCTAATAAAGATCTATTAAACTGTACTTAGATTTTAATCTGCTCATCAGAAGTCATAAAAAGCTAATACAGTATACTGTATGTAAGTAGAAACTAATTGAGATATCAGCAAAAAAAAATACTGTGAATACATGAGGTTTCATACAACCTACATAATATGTTCAATTTTGGGGAACAAAGGAAAAATCGATTTTGAAAAATGAATTTTTGAGGTAATCACTGTATAAAATTTTAAAATACAACAATGCTCATCATTTAAAAATTCGCATAAATTCATGAAATATCTTTAAATTTGGTTCAGGGCATTTTTTTGCCTCAAGAATCATTTATTATAGAAAATATTCCAAGGAGAAGAAATGGTCATGCAGTTGAAAGGTTTGATTTCTCATTTAAAAACCTGAAAATTTCAAAATAAAACTTACTTTCTTTGAATCTGGTTCAGACTCATCAAGTAGTTGTCAAGATCCGCCAGTTTGGTCTCCCACTCATTCGCTCTTCCACTGAATGCGTCATAGTAAGGGGAGTCCTTGACAGACTGCAGCACCATCTGGTGATCCCCAACCTTACTAACAATGTCCTTCCACTCTTTGATCAGAGAGATGTCGCGTCCAACACTGTCCTTGTGCTCACGAAACGTGAATTTGCAATCAAAAGCCCAAACATCCAGCTTATCCAGGGCTTGGCGGATGCTCACTTCTGCTTGTGCTCTGCCATTTATTTCCTAAACAAAAAGTGAAATTCTTCAGTTCGAACTGTCTTAACAATAGGATCTTTACCATATTTGGGCGACAAAACGGAGTGAGTGTTATTCTCTCGTGTGAAACACGTGACAGAGTTTAGTTACCGTACTAGTTGACAGAAGGTAATTACCCATCACTCATTTTACCTTTTCTAACATTAAAAAATATTTCCAATTATTGAAAAGAAGGTGTGTGTGTGTGTGTGTGTGATGGTATGCATCTACAGAGAATTTGCATGCAAAAATATTTTTCACTCAAATAAGGAAGAAACATGTTTAAAAAGAAAAACAGAACTTTTGTGTCCATCCCATGGTCTAGAATAACAGTGTGTGTTGTTACTTTTGTACATCTGCTCAGAATTCATAGCAATGAACTATAATATAAGAGATTCTGCCAGCAAGATTGCTGTTGCAGGGAAGCAAATATTTTTATTCTCCAGCATATATATCTATTTTTGTCATTTGGTATATGAATGACAACTATTTCAATCTTCTACTTCTTATTGTCACCAATTCTCATGCATTCAAAAATGGTTCAGATGACAATGATAAGTCTTCATTGGAAAATTCAGCAGTATATAACAAAATCTGAATTTTCTCTACTGGAAAGGAAAATGCTGGAAGGTAATGTGAGTGAATGAAAATAATGAACATGAAGAGAAAGCCCAGAGAATAATGAGCCATCCTTCAAAAACATGTCAATCTAATTTTCATGGCATGACTAAACAAATGATCACTTGAAGGGCAATATATGACCTGAACTGTTTACAGACTTCCAAGAAATAAGTCTCTACTTAAAAGTTAGGCCAACGCTTTCCTCTCATCAGATTCATTCTATGAAAGGTTCTCCTGCACAGAGCTTGCAGCAGAGATAGCTTTTGTTTGTCATCAAATACTTTCTGTCATTCCTTCTTGCTAGCAGACAATGCATGAAGCCATTTTTTTCTCTACTTTCATGTTCCCAATGACATGCCCTCATCAAGAAGTCAAGCTTGACAGAATTGTTATCCTAGAAATGGTATAAACCCGCTGTTTTGCCTCACTCACAATAAGAGAGCACACTTTGTGCACTGTCTCAAATCAATGGCATGATCAACTGTCTTCCATTACCCCCTCATTTTCCCTTTTCTAGCAAAAAAAATGCATTTCCAATTATTGAAAAGAATGTGTGTGTGTGATATGGTATTCATGTTGTAGTCATATTAACAACCACAACACCCTTCACTTTACGCACAACCCTTTTAAGCGAATGTATTTCTGCTACGCTTGGCTGCGCCTGGTGCGCTAGCAATTATATTTCACAATCCTGTTGTTGACGGAATACTTTCCCAACTGCACTCAAGCTTCCTTCCTTTAAATAAACAAAGCATGACGTCCCCGATCCAAATCAGTTTCTATGCGCGTTCTTTGACCTTGGCCGGCCGAAGCTATATATACAGGTGCATTTTATGTCGCATTAAGTTTACCGCACCAGACCTTGTCCGAACGCCAAGTCTACGCCGCTTTGCTCTCTGTAGAATTGTTGTATTGACTGTGTGTGAAGATAGAATAAAATATTACTTGAAATACTCTCACGGAGTAACTTTTGCGTTTCCTTTGAAAGTCGCGGAAAACGATTTAAATCTCCGATCCCCTTTTCCTCTAATTATTAAGAAGTAGCTATCAACGACTGATCATCGTTGATCACTCACATCTGTAAAATAGTTTTTGGATAACAATGTACAGAGAATTTGCATGCAAAAATACTTTTCACTCAAATAAGGAAGAAACATGTTCAAACATAAAAACAGAATTTTTGTGTTCATCCCATGGTCTATAGAATAACTGTGTGTGGTTACTCTTGTAAATCTGCTCAGAATTCATAAAAATGAACTATAATATAAGAGATTCTGTCAGCAAGATTGCTGTTGCAGGGAAGCAAATATTTTTATTCTCCAGCAGATATATCTATTTTTGTCATTTGGTATATGAATGACAACTATTTCAATCTTCTACTTCTTATTGTCACCAATTCTCATGTATTCAAAAATGGTTCAGATGACAATGATAAGTCTTCATTGGAAAATTCAGCAGTATATAACAAAATCTGAATTTTCTCTACTGGAAATGAAAATGCTGGAAGGTTTTGTGAGTGAATGAAAATAATGAACATGATGAGAAAGCCCAGAGAATAATGAGCCATCATTCAAAAACATGTCAATCTAATTTTCATAGCATGATAACTAAACAAATGGTCACTTGAAGGGCAATATGACCTGAACTGTTTACAGACTTCCAAGAAATAAGTCTCTACTTAAAAGTTAGGCCAAAGCTTTCCTCTCATCAGATTCATTCTATGAAAGGTTCTCCTGCGCAGAGCTTGCAGCAGAGATAGCTTTTGTTTGTCATCAAATACTTTCTGTCATTCCTTCTTGCTAGCAGACAATGCATGAAGCCATTTTTTTCTCTACTTTCATGTTCCCAATGACATGCCCTCATCAATAAGTCATGCACTGCCAAGTTATGCAACTCTTCCCCAAATAAACAAAGTTGGGTCTGGATCAGACCAGTTTTCCCCAATCTTGGACTGCAAAGTCTATAAAACCACCTGCCTTGATATACAGATATGCTCTTTGATCTCTGTTCACTACTGTCTGAATTATCTTGCAGTTGTTCATCTTTGTGGAATACAAAAGTTTGCACCTGCATTCTTTCATAGAAACTCAAGGAGTCTTCACTATATGCAAACCCAACAACAATAAAGAATAAGAAATCTCCTGTATATAAGAAACAAAATTGTCAGACTTGATTTAACAATAATGCATTATGACATAAATGTATTAACTACAAGGACTCAGTAGGAGACATCTTCAAAACTTTGCATTTATCTAACTTTGATTGAAAGTCTATAATAACAGGTTTTACCAATTTATTTGAAAAGATTGCTGTGAAGTATTCCATGCTGTATTCCATATGTCTGTCATCAGTATAACTCTTGCCTATCCAAACATGCTTCAGTATTATTGTTTGTAAAAATATGATTTAGAAACATTCAGGGTGTGCAGAAGTAATATTTAAAGTGGGAATAACAACAACAACAACAGCAAAAGGTAACCAACCTTCAGCTTGTCAGAGTTGACAAGCAAGGCATCTCTGGCATTCAAAAGATGCCCAAAAGTGAGCTGACTGGGGGACACACTTGTTGGAATGCCCACCAGGGAGAAAATCTCCAGCCAGTGCTTGTCAGAAAAATAGTCCCCGCGGACAAATTTGAGCACAGGAACAACAGCCTTGAACTTTTCAATGTCCTGCGACAGTCTAATGGATAGTTTGGACGAGTCACCGGTTCTTTGGGCGAGTTTCTCTTCCCAGGAAGTGAGGTATTCTTCGAATTTGTAGGACTGGCTCCGAAACACGCTCCATTGCTCATCCTGCATTTCTTTCATTCCTGGATGGGAAAAAAAATTAAATAATTATAGTAGATTAAAAAATTAATCTAAAAAACCACGTTTTCAAAAAGCAAAAAATAGCCTTAAACGGGGTGCGCATCTATTTCATTTGTATTTCACTTCTTCCCAACAATCTCCATGCTCACCACGTTTAAGGTTATTTTTTGCTTTTTGAAAACGTGGTTTTTTAGATTAATTTTTCAATCTACTAAATTTTTTTTTGCTTTTTAATCTTACTTGAAAAACATGGTTTTTTAGATTAATTTTTTAATCTACTGTAATTATTTTATTCTTTTTAAAAAATATTCTTATAATTTTTCTTTTCACAAAAGATTGCATTGTCATCAGTTTCTAAGCTATCCTGAAAGTTTCAGCTTGCTAGCTAGTCGGGAAGTGAGCAAAATTTGAGTTGCAAAATTTGATCTGGACAAACAAACGGACAAGAAAGCAAGTTAATAAAAACGTGTTAAAATGGGGATGATGCTGAATAACAACATAAAATACATTTCAAGAAATTGCTTTTTTTTTCTCCCCAAATTATCTGCACCAGCACTTTCACATCTTGTCTATTATAAAACTAATCCTGTCCTAGTGTCCCATTTAAAAAAGAATACACTGGAAGAATGAAGGGTATGTGATGGTTGCAGAGTAAAACTTTCCACATTATAAAATTAAAATTGGGGCATTTTTACTTAACATGTTTCAATATATACAGATGCTGCATTTCTTTGGCAGACTCAGATGAATTCAATTTACAGCCAAGGCTAAAAAAATATTTCAATTCAAGTGCTGAACTGATACATTGATGAAACAGAAATGTCTTCTCTAAATATGTTACTCACCTGTCTTGAATTCTTCTAGTTGACACCACATCAACTCATATTTTTCAAGATCCTTGGATATTTCAGCCACCTTCTCAATTTCAGGGAGCTCCATTTGGAATTTTTGAAAGTCAGACCTGTACATCATATGTGCATAGAAAAGTTTTCAAATTTGAAAACATAATCACTGCTGTAGCATCATCTTTCATTTTCTGAAATTTTTTAAATTTTGACCAAAGTCACACAATATAGAATTTTTGGAAATATCCTCATTATATATTCTTGTATATTTTGACTAGCAATAAGTTTTGGGATCAGCATTTCGGAAGCCTGCAATTGGAAGCATGCTAATATATATTAGCATGCTTACAATTGCATATATATATATATATATATATATCAAACTATATATGTATAGTTTGTCATCATAATATTAGTGAGTCCTCAAACAGCATAATAATACCCCATTCTCAAACTGAGTTTCATATGCAAAGATCTGCATAGCAACACACCGGAATCGGCATACTGGAACATTGCAACAGTGTCTGCTGACAGGTCATTCACATGACTTGGTTTACTTTCTGTTTATCTTTATTCATGCGCAGTCAGTCACCTGTCTTGCACATCCAATGTCTATAAAAGGAGCGTCCAAACACTCCTTTCATTGCTCATTGCTGGTCTGGACTGTTGGACTGTTGTTGTGCATGATCTGAAATATATGTATTTGAGACTAAGAGAAGTTGTCTCATTTGCTTTACGTACTCCGGCCATAAGATTAATACTTCTTGACGATGGTTTATCTCAACGGCAATCATTGGATACAAGTTTAAAGAATTACAATGCGTAGAAGATGTTCACCCATAGTTCTTGAGGCTTAATTTACATCCGACAGTTTGGGATAACAATATATATATATATATAATATATATATAATGTTCAACCTGAACAATTTTAAATTCAAGAATTTCAGAAACACATCATATGACAATTCGAATTTTCTGCTTTATTGGGGGGCAAGAAACCAATAGGTTTCTTCATAATTGAAGTCCATGGGTAAAATGGAGTTTGGTTAACAAACTTTTTGTAGAACATTTTTGTGATGCCAAGTATTGGTTTGTCAGAGGGTTTGCTGTACAGAACAGAAAAACTGGTACTAACTTGAGCTTCTCATGAGTTTCCATCAACTCATCCCAGTCCTTCCTCTTATCTTTCACAAATCTAATCCCAGCATCAATGGCTCCAGGATTCCCAGCCTCCAAAATGTCTTCCTTTGGTTTGAATTCATGCCATCTAGAGGCAAATTTCTCAACTTCCTGGGTGAAATTGGTCTCCTGGTTCAACAGATTGGATCTCATGGCATCCATTTGCTTGGCAAACACGCTTTCATGTGAGTCCATCATGCCCAGAAAGTTGTCCCATGTGGACATGACAGACTGGACAGACTCCACACGCTTGTTCATGAACCTTGCCAAAGTGTCATTCATTTCTTTTGTAGCTCCTATCAAAGTTTTCATCTGTAAAATCAGACATTTGAAGTAAACTAAAGGGCATATTTCTTTACAGGCTGATGACCTACAAAAAAACCATGATTTCCATGATTTGAGATGCATTATTCTGAAACAAGAGGCAATTTTTGGCAAGCTTAGAATGTTGCACTGTACAATATCTTCCTCTATCCTTTTGCTCTCTCTCTAAAAACCAATTATTGTGCTTATTCTGGTCCATCACCTTTTGAGTGATGCCCTGTAAAGCCAGCTGCATAAAAAATGCATGCAGCCCTTGAGATGTGCTTCCCACATAATCTCAAAACCCTTTCTCTTATATCAGCCAAACTGCATGCTAAAATGTCTTCCAAAAGAGTACTGTACTACTCTTGTAAATTCTGAGAGTATATGTAATTTAAAGGTACTATAAAAAGGGGTTAAGAACCTCTGAAGAGGTATTTGGACATACTAACAGTCCCTCAGCTTCTTATACTTTATTTGTCTTAATTTTAACTTAGAAGTTAAACTACAGGATAACAATTTGTTAAAACTTCCACACAGCAGGCAGTTTTTCTGCTCAAAATGCAGTATCCATGCTGTTCATGTGATTCATATTTGCAGCACTTCCAGAACAGACTCATTATCACTACACTGACTCATTTTTGGGTACTAAATATGGATAGTACTGTATACAGTTTTGTTCAGTAATGGAAATTCAACTTTGAAATTTGGTTTCATACATGCTGTGTATCAGCAACTGCTGTAAGAGTAGTAAGACTCAGTTTGATGATTATTTCTAAACAAATATACTCTGTTCTGTGCATTTATAATGCTACTGTATATATATATATATATGTTGGTTATTGACATAAATGTTGGCATGTTACAAAATCTTCAAAATTTCTCTCTATAAGTTAGCATTGGAGTTCAAAGAATTCACAGTACTCTCAAAGGAAATTATCAATTTTTAATTTCCATTTATTGCATTTGAAATGAGATGATGATCTGACATTCTCATGATTGGGTAAAGTGTCATACATTTAGAATAAGAAGCAGGACTTACTTCAGGCATTCTTGAGGCTAGCTCTGCATGTTTCAAACTGATCTCCCCAAGTTCCTCTACAGACTGTGGCTGTTGGCTGAGAGTGGAACCTGCTGCTTCAACAAAAAGCTCCAACCCAGCACAATTCTGAAAACATTATATGTTTTCAATCAATAATACATGAATACATTCTAAAAGTACTTTCCCTCACTTACTTTTGCAACTGCTCTTTGCAAAGAGTCATCAAGGGCTCTCAGGTACCTGTCCTTGGCTTTTTCCAGCTCCTCAATAACAGGGTAGTATGTGATGGCAAAACAGTCCAATTTTTCATTCCTGAAAAAATAAAAATTGAAATGATGTACTGTACAACACAATCTGAAATGAAATGTTACTACTTCTACTATGTAAAAAGCAATATTCAAAAAGAATGGCTTACATAGGTTATGTTTTCAAAAAATTAATTATCACAATTTACTGTAAATTGTAGCTTTGCCTCTTCAAAAACTACTTATTAAATATTATACTACTTACTAAATATTCTTTTTTACAATCTAATAAGAAAGCAAAAACTTCACTCATACAGGTAAAATATTTGGGTTATGCCAGAAAATTAGGAAATATACCTATGAGTTATAGGTCCTATATATTTAGCCTATCATTTAAAAAAATTAAAAAGCAATTTTTTCTGCATTTTTCAGCACAGCTGACCCTATTTACATTTTGTTGATTGTCTCAAGAATTCATGCTGAAATCAATCTTCTAAACATTGCTCAGCAAAAATTGAAAATAAAGTGAAAGAACTAATTTTCAAGATCACTCTTCAATAATAAGTTCATGGAAAAACAATGACCAGTCTCTGATTTTTTTTTAGAATAATTACTGCGGAATTTTGTTGATGAATTGCCCAATGTTGTTGACAGCCCTGAAAGAAGTGTCCCAGTCCTCAGAGGTTTCCAGATTTTCTGCCAAGCTGGAAAAATCCGCAAAGGCCCAGGTGACATACACCAAATATGTTTTAGTTTTCGACTGCAACTTGTCAAACAGGTTTTCTGCATTCACAAACAACGTATTGAATCTGGATGCATTCCTTTCAATCATAGTTCCGAAAATTCTGTGTTCGTCATCAGCCACGCCTTTGAATCAAATACATAAAAAAACAGGTACTAAAAAGTGTTTCACATAAATTTTTTTTCAATTATCCAGCAGACAAACCTTTGAACCTGTTGGGAATTGCCAGGAACTTCTTCAGACCAGAATAGTAAATTCTTCTGATGTCTTCCAGGCTTGGAGAAAACTGCAACCTTTGGTTTCTCAACTCCAAACTGATGTTGATTTCTGGCAAGTGTTGATTCAAAGCTTCAAGTCCCAGCTGATGAATTGAAAAAGAGAAAGAAGTTTTTTCAGGCAACAAATTTAAAAATGATTTAGTGAAGAGTGTCCTCATCAATAAATTGGTTTCTGGAAAACTAACAATAAATTTCTTTGAAATTCTTTCATTTAGGAAAATTGTGATCCATTTCTAGAAAAATGCATTGATTTCTGGAGAAAATAAATAAATACTTTCAAAACCACCTATTATTGATGTATTGCATCAAGTTATTGTATCAATATCAAAAAAGTTTCCCAATATCTGGAAAATGTATCAATACTGGAAAAATTCTAATATTTCCTGAAATGTATTTCCATCATATACAGAAAACAGTTTTGATTATACTGTGAAGCAGTTTGCAAACAGAACACTTTAATTAACAATCATAATTTAAATAGGGTGATGGACTTGGATTGAAATGGGTACATTTTTCAGAAATCAATGCATTTGTTCAATTAAAAGAAAAACTCAATCAAAGGGACCTGATACTGATGTTCCAGAGCCTTGTAAAGCTGGTAGTTCCAAAATATTTTCCAAGATTTTGTGTCAGGGAAGACTTGCTCAGTGTCTTGGATGACTTTCCTTATTTCCACAAGCTCTGATTTCCAGGATTCCTCTTTCCTCAGTAAATCAGTACTCATCAAGTTTTTCACCTATAGAAAGCAAAATAAATTTATTGACCTTTTCAAAATGCCTTTACCAATTACTAAAAATGGGTAAATCTCACCTTCTCTTTGATCTGCAAATGGCGATGTGTGAGTGTTGTAGAATTTTTCCCCAGTCTTGTGACAACAATGGACAATTTTTGAATGTAGTTTTCTACTGCTTTGGTATCTTTCCATGTCATGACATCAGTCTTGACCAGGTTGTCCAGCTGCAAAGCATCTTGTAAAAGCAGGGGCAGCAATGGTGGCAAAATCCTCTGCCCAACAGTGTTGTGAAAATTGGCAATCTGAAAATTTGAAAAGATAATATTATGATAAAGGATCATATTATGACAGCAATAATTGGCCAAATGAAAATGTGCACAGCATAAAAATTCAGCATATGAAAAAATTATGGATTGAGGCACACATTTTATATAGTAAAATTAAATTTCAAACCTTGAGTCAGGATAGCAAAAGTTCAAGTAAATCTATATGCTGATGTTTTTCATATAAAATACAGTGGCCCCCCGCCTAACAGACCTCCCGTGTAAGGGATTTTTGCCAAACAGACCAGCTCTGCAAGCAGTTTTTCCTCCCACCCAACAAACAAAATCTGCCAAACAGACTTCTTTTGGTTTAAAATTAGTGTTGAAAATTGAAATTTTTAATTCTTTATGTAATTGAATTCATGTAAAGGACTTTTTGTCTAACAGACTCATCCCTTGCACAAATCAAGTCCGTTAGATGGGGGTTGACTGTATATGACTTTGAATCATGATCAGCATTCAATCAAAGAGAACATCCAACAAAAGAATATGAGATATGCTAAAAAATTCAGTAGTTTGGAATGGAAATTAATAAAATGTCTTTATTTTCAATCATTACAAAAAGGCTGAAAATAGAAATATAATTACATGATCCAGGGATTTTGCCAGTTTGATGTACCCAAGAGCCACAGCTGATAAGTCCATGATGGGCTTTGGTATTTTATACCCAAGCAAACCCAGTTGGCGAACTTCCCTGGTGATCATCACCAATTTTGGATTGTAATTCACCACCATGATCTTATTTTTGCCTTCTGTAAACTTTACCACAGATTTGTCTGTTGCTAAGCTGCAATAAAAAAAGGAATATCAAATTAATTTTCAGGCATAATAATGTGTTCTCATTGTAAAAAATTAAGCAAAATGTAACCATACCTCAAAGCACTTGCTGAGTCTTGGATGTCTCTGGCCCAAGAGGAGAACAAATCTTCTCTGGACATCTTTAGTTGGTCTTTGAAGTCACTCATTGCAGCTTGGAACTTTGAATAATCCTTCAAATCAACCAAGACTTTCTTCCCAACTTGTTCCATGGAGTTCAGCTGAAAAATTTCAATAGAAATTCCCACCATTTCAAATTGTGTATATACAATATTTTACAAGGCTCACAAAATATAATTCAGTATCTGTATTCATAAAAATTACTCAGAAAATCTGACTAAATAGTTGTAAAAAAATTTGGCCTTGTTATTACAATCATCTTGATCTTTTGTAAATTCATAAAAATTGGCTATATCTTCAATTTGATAAAAAAAAAAGTCAAGTCTTTTCTATGCAAAAGCAATTTATGCATCAAAACTCTTTGATCACTCTCATATTTCCTCCTTTGGTGTTGGCATCTCATAGTATATATTAGCAGGAGTAACCACAAAATTCAACATTTATATAATAAGCTAATCACAGTTGAATTTACTTTGAGAACCCTTCAGATTTTCAACACTCATATACTTTCCAGATATTTTTCAATTCAACATCAAATAAAATATAATCTCTTTAAACCACACTGACAAAGGTTTTAAATGTTACAACATAAAGTCACACAAGTTTTAAAAAAAGCTAATTTCATAGTGATTGAAGAGAACTTCATTTTAGTACTGTATAACCTAAATTTTCTCTCTTTAACATAGCCCTTTCTAAATAATTATTGCTTAAAAATCAGTTCAAACTAATTTCAGGAACCCAGTATTTTCCCAATCACATTTCTTTAAGCAAGCTAAATCCAAGAAGAACTTTGGTTGGAAATGTTTGAAAATTGTCAAGCACTAACCCTGCTCTCCAGTTGATGGATCCAAATGATGGACTTTACTAAATCTGAGCTGGTGTCATCATACTGTGGAATAGGACCTGGACCACTTTTGCTGCAGAAAGATGAATAACAGAAAACTTGCAGATACCTGAAAATGTCCACTTGATATAAGTCAAGTATAGGCAGAGATTCATTTACCTGAATTTTGCTTGTGTTTCTTGTAAGTAAGAAGTCAGTTTGCTCAGCAAAACTTCTCTCTCTGGGGCCAGTTCTTCTCTGATGACATTGTGTTGCAAGAGGGCCAAATATCTCCTGAACTCCTGGTTCAGCTTCAATAATGGCAAGAAAAATTTATTTTACAAAATCATCATGTTTGTGAACACCTTGTATATGGAGGATGAAACAAACAATGAGATAAATAAATAACAGGATGAGTATATACCTGAAGAACATTATCTTCCAGTGACCTCAATTGTCCTTTCAGCTTTTCTGCAATTCTCCTTTCAGCTGGTTTCAGGAAATTTTCATATTGTTGCAAGGCAGACAGCCAGACATTGTTTGTGTATGGGTTGTATTGCACTGGATTCAAGCCAGATGTGAGGAAAATTTCAAATGCGTCCTTTGTGTGCAATTGGGCCTGTTCTGCATGGCTCAGAAGATTGGTCAGCTGTCTATGAACAGTCCTCACATTCAGAATCTGAAATAGACATTGTTTTGTGATGACGGACAATTCCAGTTTGAAATATATATTTCTTGCAGTCCAGGTATTTCTGCAATATAAGTGCCAAATTTTTGATGGATTTCCTTCAAAAACTCAAATTAACTTTGATGCTTGTTCCATCAGTCACTTTTGAGCATCATCAAACTGCATATTAAAAGATAAGATGATGATAAAATTAGCTACTTATTGGTTAACATAACTTGCAGTAATTGACATCTACCTAAAGTTGGATCCTTAAATGAGAGAATATATGCAAAGTAGCTTGAATCTCTTGTAAATTGTTATTTGATAAAATTACTAGAATACTGATAAAATTTTTGGAATATTGTTTTTTTCAGAAATTGATTTAGGAATGGTTACCTCTTCAAGTCTATCACCAAATCCTTTGGTGTACTTGGGTTCATAAGCAGGGCCTTTCCAATGATGTAGTCCATATGTGGCCCAAAACAAAGTGGTCAACTTTCCACACACATTGATTATCCATTTATCACACAAGGATTTCCCAGCAGAAATAATCCCTTCAAGTTGAGAGAAAGGTGAGGACCACACATTGACATTGTTAAATTCCTGCTGAATCCTTTGGCAGATTGCAATACCTGTATATATAATCAATGACGGACATTAAGTTTAAGAAGTGCTTGTAGAAATAACTTGACAAAATTCAAACACTTGGATACAATTTTGATAAGACTGTATCACAGACAATGAATCTTTTTTTATGGTGTGCATTTTCTAAAGTGTACAAGTTTTACAAAGTACTGTAGTTGAAAATGAAGTGAATTAAAATGTCCATTTGCTAAACTTCAAGATTTCTTGATTTTGTATGAATGAATGAATGAATGAACAGAAAACTTTATTTGCCGCTTTTCAGCATTCACAGGGGATAATTTTCAGCGTTCACAGGGGATAAACAGAACTCCTGCATCCAAACCCCCTCCCCACCCAACCCAACTCCCCCAAATACATTCATTGATTTTGTAAAAATAAAAAAGATATACTTCTTATCATAGCCTAAGCTTTAAACTGATGCTTCTGTTGGGTTAGATGAATAGCATTTTTACACTTTGAAAAGTAGGCATGGTAAATATTTGTTAATGTGCAGTATTTTTTCAAATTCCCAGCAGTGATTTGGGTTGCATTCATATAAGATTGTACATTTATAATTAGAAACATGATTGCATGAATACTGTAGTACTGTATTTGATTTATACAAACCACAGAGTTCCATAAGATGTGACATCCTGTCTTGAGGATATTCAGCTTCATCCAGCTTCCAGAGTTCATCCAGGAAAGTGAATAGATTCTCCAACATGTCATCCAAGTCTTCCAATCTTCCATCATGAATTTTTGTCAATTCAGCCACCACACAGCTGAGACCAGCTGCGACATCTGGTTTCTTCTTGACAACTTTCCAATATTCCAGTTCATCATCCACAGACAATATCCCTGCATTGAGAAATTTCCTCATTTATCAAAGTGACTCCTGTGATATTAATCATTGTTTTGAACTGCTCATTTTGACTGGGAATAAACAGAAGAAGTGAATCATCATACACAAATTAAACTTTCAATGTGGTTCATGGAAATGTTGGCCTTTCTTCTTGGTGAGATTAATAATATATTATGTGTCTATAACAAAAGAAACTTTTTGCACAATAAAAGGGCTTTGGTAATTTTTTAGCATTATCTCTGAAGTACTACAAGGTAAAATTATACACAAAGGCAATTTTACATGATTAAAATAGCATTTGACTTACAGTATTTCTGAAGTTTTCTATAAAGCACAATTGAATATTGCAAGATAACTTAATGACCAGTAACTTAATTACACTTCAAGATGATATCAATTTAAGGTGAAACAGTTGGTGTTTTTTCACAATTTCTGGAATTGTATGAGTTATAATAATGAAGAAAGTATTTAATGAGTTCCATAACCCAAAAACCATAATATTTTGAAAATAGATCATATTCTAGATTTATAAGAATGTGACTCACCAGCCAGGCCAGCATTTTTGGCATCTTCAGAATCCACTGAGTGAGATTTTCCTGGTGCTTGTCTTTTAAGAATTGTACCAAGTCCTCCTTCAAGCTCAGTAAGTAAAGTTGGAATCTTAGAGCCAAGCCTTTCCCCACGACTTTGCTGAAATTAAAACATAAGAATCTAAAGTAATGTCCTCAACATATCCAGATTTGGTACAGTATTAAAATTACTGATGTACAGTACAGTACTCTATACTAAAGCTTCTGGATTTTCAGCTACCATTTTACACATATGAGCAAGGGTGAAGAAAAATAATATTTTTTGATACAGTAGGCATCTGGCTTGGGTTCTTCATTCACACTGCTTTCTCAATTTTATTGCACTTTACTTGAATGAAAGAAAGTATTCTGTGCAACATGCCCTCAAGATTTTGTTTAGGCTCATTATTACCAACTATAATAAAGTTTAATTTAAAATGCAAAAAAATAAAGTACTAACAAAACCATTGTGTTCCAGGATTTCACATACTAACACATGATTCATGATTACACTCAAGTGTAGGGAATAATGGAACCAGCAAATAACTTCAAGAAAGTCTGTATGAGTCATTATACATATTATCTTCCTATAAAAGAAAGGCAGCAAAACCAGGAAAGTTTTGTACAGTACAACTATATACTGTACTATACCCCTTGTATATATGTCCCATCTCCTTCTTTTTAATCTCAGGGATGATCAATCAATGAATCAATTATACCTCTAAAAGCAGGGGAGTGAAGACCTTCTTCAGAGTGTGATACAGGGTGGCTGCTGGAGAGTCAATCATGGATGAAACAAATACAGTGGATCGCAAATTTTCAGGACCAACCACTGTAGGTTTGATCTTGAAG